CGCCAAGGCAGGTGAGAAGACATCTGCCCTCTCCATCACCCTTATGCAATCCTTTACTCCAAAAAACACAAGCAGCATGTGCACAGTGAAAGTCAACAGTCTCTCGGTTTACACCTAAAGCACATCTCAAATACTCAGCAGGTGCCAAGAGCAAAAATTCCATGTTATTGAATAGCTCATCACCTCCAGGTATTCAGTGGATGCGTTTGGTCAGCCTCTTACAAGCATGCTGTTGCATAACAATAGCCATAGCAGCCCATGCAGCAGCTATGGGGCCTGGGGTAGGAGGGGGGCCCCATCAGGAAGACTGCACAAGCATCAAATGCTTGTGGTAAGTGAACACAATGTCATTCGAATTTTAAGCAAACCCGTGAAAAAGTCTAACCTTGAGCCAATCTGTGCCGCCGTCACGCCGACGTAATTGGGGAATTTGAGTTATTAGTTGACACTACAAGCTGATAAAAAGAATCAGCTGGGGGCCCCGTCAACATTTTGCTATGGGGCCCCATCAACATTTTGCTATGGGGCCCCATAATTTGTAATCATCCCTTCACAGAACTCACTAGAAGTCACGGGCAACAGGCAAAAAAGTAATCTTCGTTCCGACTCGTGGGAGTGTTTGGTCAGCAGTGGGGGGGGATTCCAGCTCACCGAGTGCACAATAAATCCAAAAATATGGCATGATCTACTCCCTACTCCTCAGGACCCCGTGTCCCCAGATGAGGTCTGTCACGTTTGTTGCTCATTAGGCATTTAGGGACCCCCCAAAAAAATTCAGTACATTGGAAAAGCATTGAGAATGCTTGCTGGACGCCTGTAGACGTCTGACAGACATTCATTAAAAAAGGCTCTTTATATATCTATATGTATAATGAGAAAGAATCACCTGCAGGGGAGATAGAACCTACCTGGGGCTCCTGAGCGCCCGCGCAGTCCCTGGTATCAGTCCCTCGCTCTGCCTCCGGCTCAGCTGTGTGCGGACGGAGCTGTACGTGCGGGAGGAGCTGAACTCCTCGATGATCTCTATGGCAATGCCATGGCTCTTCCCATCCTCAGCACCTTCCTCTAGGAACCTCCGGCAGTGTTGCTAGCTCGGGGACGTCTCAGAGGAGCGCGCTCCGCCCCGGGGGCCATGGGATTTCTCTAAATGACACCAGCCGGCGCAACCTCCAGTGTGATCACCAGACGGGGCTCACCGGGGGTATGTCTGCTCTGTGAGGACGGGGGAATCTCCGCCTGCTATCCGTGTACAAGGAAAATACAACAGAACGATGTGCAAAGAACAAGCGTGGGCGTGCTTAGCAATACACAAAGAGCCGCGACCAATCAGAATCCAGACTGGAGCCAGGTCAGATCTGCTCCTTATGGGTCCTTTTCTGCAGGTTGGTGTGCGTCCAGGGACCCAATGGAGACACGTCCCCGCTACGCCCCGGTGTGAACGGAGCCGTCGGTGATCCCGCAATATTTGTGGTCATTTGTAGCAGTTGGGATATTTTTTACATTGTTACATTGTATAAAGAAAATATTCCAGCTGTTACCAATGAAACAGTGTCAGGAGTGAGGAGTGGACCCTGCGGCATACCTCATCCCGCCGGGTGAACGTTCCCTCCTCTCTCCGCCGACGTCCATCACCAAGATGGCCGCCGGCAGGAGTCAATTAGATAGCCGAACGTGCGCAATGATGTCACACGCACGCGCGACGGCGTCACTGCGGGGTGTCACCCGGTCTCCGCTCCGGGTGACACCCGACCTCAGGACGCCCCTGACACCAACCGCAGAAAAAGAGTACATGTCGCAAATTTGGCGACATGCGCTCCGTTTTTTCCCCCCCCGCATGTTCGTGCGCGTTCTCATGCAGGCGAACACGCGTGGAAAAACCATGTTTGCTCGGCCACGTTTGGGGTGCCGTTACCTAGTAATGGCAACGCAAACGTGTACCGTGTTTGTGCACATATTGTCAACGTTTGGCACGCGGTCGCGCTACGCCCCAGTGTGAACGGAGCCCAAAGCTGAACTCCAGGCAAACCGCTGAGCACACAGAGCCGTTACGCCTGCCAAAGGATTTCTATTACTTTCTATCCATTCCGGAAATATGCACAGCTCCGCCACACAGCACAACCCTGTCTAGCAGGGAAGGGGACTGGATTTGTTACTGATGCAGACTCCAGGTCCTGTCCCTCCCCCAGCCTGTGACTGGATAGTGAAAGGAGAAGCAGCAGACTGATGAGCTCATTGATCTGTCACTCTGCTCTCTCCTCCTATCATGCTCCTCGCACTGAAGCAACTGATTTGCTCTTTGTGCTGCTCCCCCAGTCTTAGTTCTGCTGTACAGAGACTATGCGAGGGGGACACCACAGTGCTTGCTTTTAAAAAAGATACATTTAAAGCTGTTCAATCTGGTTATATTTTGCAGTCCCATGTCCCCCCCCCCCAATTTAATGGCTCATTAATGACTTCCCCTGTGTTCCCAGGACAGCAGATCACCAATAGGAAGCCATATCTTTGTCCCTTCCGCCATATTCTGGGGACAATTATCCTGCACACAGATCCCTATCACAGTCCCCCGGATACACATCGCAGATATTCCCGTCGCGGAGAAGAAAGGACGGGCCGAGCGCCATTATCAGGCACCCAGCAGGAAATCGCATTACCATGCGGCTCCACCCACCATAGACTTCTATGGGCTGATACGGAGGGGTCGGGGCTCCTCATTAATGCCATAGAAAGAGGCTGCAGAGGTTCCGGAATTATAATGAGGAATTTGGGGGAGAAAAGCAAAATCTATTTCCTGCTTTTTATAATATACATTCGAAGGAGATCACTGAATGCCTCCATGTTATCAATGCAACCTTTATAATAATGTACGGACGTGGGGGAGGCCGTATATACCAGATATACAGGGCTCGGATACCAGCTCGGCCATCAGTGGCCCACCCTCTAAGCCAGGATACATTGGGAGGTGTGATCCCTCTGGTGTGAGGTGACCTACCTATCGTCAGGGAAGTGCTATTCCAGCAGGCGGAGGGCTTCATCGCGGTGCAGAGTGGCACGGATCCGAGGCCTCCTAACCCAACTTCTGGAGCAGTTGACACTGTCACTCTGATCTACTCTCCAGGATCATTCTACTTATGTTCAGTGTATGGTCTTCTCATACAACATTCACCAAGCCCCGATGAAGGGGGACCACTGGAACCCCAAAACGCATTGGCTTTAAGTGAACGTGTTTTATAAATACTACTGCTGGACCTTATTACATGATTGTGGAGCCAATTCAAGACATGTGCTGATCCATGACCATGGAGAGCTGGCCTAGGATCAAACCCAACATCTGACCATAGCTCCATCTGGAACCATCACCCAACCTAAGTGATCCCAACCTACACACTTCTCCTGCACCTTCTAGTCTATAGACTGTGGAGGAACATCCAATATGGAGGAAGTGGTGGCAGTGGTGACCAGGACTCCGCACTTCTCCTGCACCTTCTAGTCTATAGACTGTGGAGGAACATCCAATATGGAGGAAGTGGTGGCAGTGGTGACCAGGACTCCGCACTTCTCCTGCACCTTCTAGTCTATAGACTGTGGAGGAACATCCAATATGGAGGAAGTGGTGGCAGTGGTGACCAGGACTCCGCACTTCTCCTGCACCTTCTAGTCTATAGACTGTGGAGGAACATCCAATATGGAGGAAGTGGTGGCAGTGGTGACCAGGACTCCGCACTTCTCCTGCACCTTCTAGTCTATAGACTGTGGAGGAACATCCAATATGGAGGAAGTGGTGGCAGTGGTGACCAGGACTCCGCACTTCTCCTGCACCTTCTAGTCTATAGACTGTGGAGGAACATCCAATATGGAGGAAGTGGTGGCAGTGGTGACCAGGACTCCGCACTTCTCCTGCACCTTCTAGTCTATAGACTGTGGAGGAACATCCAATATGGAGGAAGTGGTGGCAGTGGTGACCAGGACTCCGCACTTCTCCTGCACCTTCTAGTCTATAGACTGTGGAGGAACATCCAATATGGAGGAAGTGGTGGCAGTGGTGACCAGGACTCCGCACTTCTCCTGCACCTTCTAGTCTATAGACTGTGGAGGAACATCCAATATGGAGGAAGTGGTGGCAGTGGTGACCAGGACTTCTACTTCTCCTGCACATTTCTGTACGTCCCCCTAGTATGAGTCTCCTGCTCAGAATTATCCCCAATCAGAGTAATTCCAAGGACGCCATTTTTCCGAGTTGAATGGCCTTCTTTAGCGCAATGCTGAGGGTAGATCCCCCCCCCCAGGGCTTTCTGTTTCTGGTTGGAAGTGTAAATCACCAGATTTAGTAAGATAAGAAGTGAGGTGAGATGAACCCGTGTTTACTGCCAACATCCAATAAAGGGCAAGAGAACTTCTATATGTTTATGCCACTGCATGTGATTGGATGTGTGTGTGTTCTGTGCGCCGCACATCATTCCTCAGCAATCCAGCATGCAGTTCTGTCATCACATTGGATCGGAGAGTGGATGTATGGTGCCATCTGGTGGCTGAAGTGTTAAACAGCAGCATTTCCTTTCCTAAATACATCTTCATAGTGACACCGGAAGAGAGATTGCATTGGTGGAGCCTGGCCACCTTCTCCCAATATCACATATTCACCTATCACGCTCCACTAAGTCCGCAAGGGGCACTTCACTCTGAAATCCTGCATTCGTGATTGGCCGTTGCAGTGCTTAGGGGATCATTTCTCATCAACAAGGTGTGTAGCCTTAGGACAGGCCAGCAAATAAGGTTTTGAAAGGATGAGCTGGTTCTCTGTTTAAAATCTGACCTCCGTCATTCCCTGCAGTCTTCTATCTGACCTCCGTCCTTCCCTTCAGTCTTCTATCTGACCTCCGTCCTTCCCTTCAGTCTTCTATCTGACCTCCGTCCTTCCCTTCAGTCTTCTA